ATGAAACGCCCGTGAACGAAAGAACTGAGAGAAATCTCTGAACGCGCGATTGGCTCTCCGGCATTTCTCCTCCTGGATGCAGATGGAGAAACCGTCTTCTCGATTCAACCACGATTCGTGTTCACGGCCTTGTCTCCGGTCTCCTTTTCAGAGGATGTCGGAGACAGGTTGGACATGAGACGTGCGAGATGAAATCTAATCTAGAAAGGAGCCGTTTCTACGTTTGAACACTTTGAATTTTTTCTAATATTTTACTTTTGATAATTTTTACTGTTTGTATTCGGACAAAAGAATGACCCGGTTTACAAAGGATAGGATATATTTGCCTGAGAAACATCGAAGGATTCAGCTACGAATTTCAACTGAAAGCTCGGGGGAGCTAGGTCTAGACCTTTCACATTTTACTTTGCTACTGTGATTTAAGACGCCAGGAAAAATTGAAACCCGAGGAGATTGTGATTTCGATCGGGACGAGACCGTAGTGTCAAAAGTGCCAAACATTAAATGCCAATGCTTGTACGATATGACAGGCGGGAAAGTGCAACCTGTTGTGGGAGGATTCAGTCAGCACTCGAAGCCGCCTCGAACGCGATCGATTTCAGAGGAATACGACGTATCTGTTGCGCGCCGTTGTATCTTCATTCTCATTTTGACCGAATAAAAGGCAAGAGAAAAAAAAGGAGAACGTTACCCGTCGGCGGATCGAGCAGCGACTCAAAAGAAATCGTCCGCCCGGCTCGAATATTCGAGCACGTCCGCGTGCTCGTCCCGGTCAGCTTTCGAGAAACGAGGCGACCGGACAGGTTGACGCGCGAGATGGAATCTGCGCCTTAGGGACGCCCGCAGAATGTATTCTACGTGTCGCCGATGTCAAACGGTTAAAAGGCCCCGAGACACGCCCGACCCGCGCGTATCGCGACGTCTATAGTGGTCCTACGGCCGGCGTCACCCCAATTTCTCCGGGGACTTTGTACGAGGAGAATCCACCCTCTCAATGCACTTGCGACCACGTTATCACGACTTCTTTTGCCGTTGCTACCTCTTTCCAAATTTCCAGTGCCGTGGCAATTATGGAAATATTTTTTTTTCTTTTCTTTTCTTTTCCTTATTTTTGCTAGACCAATAAACTCCACGTAGTGTGTCAACCTTCGACGCGACGCTGTGAGACTATACGAGACGAAGCTCCATTGAAATGTCAAATCTGACCGTGTGAATTTTTCCAAGTCGGATTATTTTTCTAGCGGGACTTGTAGTATTTATACCTGAATCCTTGTATCTCTTCCCTTGTGAATTGGTTGTCCTGACAGGTGAATTTTGAGGGACATTGTGTCGAACTGGTATAATGTATCTGTCGCGTTTCGTCCGAAGTCTCACGTCACCACTGTCGCCAAGATTCTTAGGATGTTTTCCCCTTTATTTATCGGGTCTCGTCACTCCTGCGACTGGCGACAATTCTGGTCCACGCGACTCGAGAGAAAAATGAAAAGTCATCTCAAGAAAATAGTTTCAGCTAGTTCATCTAGTTTCAGCGTTTTTGTCATTTCCGAAGGGAAGATAAATCGAAGTGATCTCCGAATGGCTACGTAACGTGGATATTTTCAGACTAAAAGGTTAATAATTAACGATTGTTCGCGTAATTATCTCGTTTTATGTATCGAACACGAGTGTGAACAGATCAGTTGGAAGGAAAGGGGAAACCGCTGATCAAAATCTTGTACACCAAAGCTTACTTATTATCTTATTTTATCTTTATAATGCCCCAGCAAGACCTAATGCCTAAAAAATGCCTAGGAATGCCCAGTAATGCCGCAAATCTGCACACTACAATGCCCTCAGCGGTTTCCCCCTCAGTTGGAACTAAATAATAATTCCAAATTTCGAATATTACAAGAGCAGTTTCTTCAAGAAAATAATTTTTAGTGAAAATATTTCTTCTATGGCTAAAATTCATTAATAATTAGTTAAAATTATCTTAACCAAATAGATGGTTTAGATATATGAACTGTGGAGACAGACGGATTGTAATAAAAAATGGCGATGTCCTAAAATCACGAGAAAAGTATTAAATGTTATTCTATTTTATTATTCCAGGTGACTCCTGCGAGTTTTGCTATTTCTATTGAGTTTGTGTGAAACTACATCACTGTCCATTAAGTGTATTAGAAAATGTGTTCTTTTTCTATTTTCTCGCTTTTATAATGTACTGGGATTTCAAGTCCCCGAAGGTCCTGAACGTACATAGAAATATTTCTAGCTAAATGATTAATCTTATGATGAATGTGCGAAAATGTAAGCTATTTATGTTGCCATGCAACTCCATTCTTTTATGAAAATCTGGAAATTGAATATCTGTCAAAACGGAAAAAGGTCACGTATAGAAGAAGATAAATATTAATTATGGTTTCCCATTGATCCCAATGGAATGTTTCGAAGGTGATCTCTCTACGGACTTTCATATAAAAGAATCGAATGAGATGATACGTCAAAACGTCGATTATCCGGATAAATTCAGACCACAATACACTTGTTGTATTGGGATTATCCGCAAGAGTGTACAACAAACTGTATTCAAAATAATATGCCATGAAAGTATTATGGGAGGACAACTAAATTCATTAAAAATGTTTAGAATTCGTTACATTTTTTCGATATCAGTGTCCATGTAATATAAACAAGAGATTCAAACGCCGGCTGTGCATTTAAACTCGTACGAGCTCTTCGGGGGAGGGATATTTCTTTCTCGACACGCGTGCATCTTGGAAGAAATTCGTAGTATAATATAGAATGGAGGAAGAAAAAGAGAAGCGAGAGAGGGAGGGTAACCCGTGACGGTGCCCGTTCGCGTCATCTCTAAACAGACCGCGTTTACTCGTCCATCATCAGGAGCCTGGGTAAACAGCGTTTACAGGCTCGGCACAAACGAAACGCCAAATTGTAACAAACTGATCTATAACTAAATTACACGCTGTACCCGTCCCGTTTCATCGGCCTCCGCGCGCAGCTATATAAACACGTCAGCACGCCGCATTGTGCCCGACTCCCGAATACGGTGATCGAAGCTCCCGCCCTATTGTCAGGTCCTCGCAGCATTGAGAACGCGATCGCGTCCCATTATCCTGGACGCCGCGTCCTCGCGCGCCTGTGTGCGTGCGAATCCTGACGGCGGAAGCTACTCGGTAAAATCGGTTTCCGAGCATGCGCTGTGCCGGTCCCAGACGAGAACGTCATTTTCTTCGCCCACCTCCTCTCTCACCTTTTCGTCATGTCCTTTTTCTTTTCTACAAACACGGGTGTCCCTGTGTGACTAAATATTTTTCCGCAGTGTAACGTCAAGTCTTTTCCAACGCAATTATCTTGTCACGATGGTAGACCTTTTTTCAGTTTATACGTGTAATCGTTGGAAATTTAATATAATATTCCAATTTAATATTAGAATTCATTAACTTCTCGAATATTGCAACATGGCAGCATTTTTCTGATTTTAAAATGTGTAGGAAATAAAATCGTTTCAATGTATGAATTTTCTCAGGAAGGGAATTCTTTTATATGAAAATCCGTAGAGAGGTTACCTACGAAACAGTGTCTCTCAAGCATGACACTTTAGTAAAATACGAAAAACATTTAAATCTTTGAAACCTGGAGCTTGCAGTCAAAGAATTATCTTTCAAAATAATATTTCTATTTATTAGAAACGACGGAATTTAAGAAAAATATTCCAACTCGTGGAAGTTGTTTGAATCCTCTTTATCTGTTATATTCATTGCATATAGAAATACATTTGCGGAAAGTCCGAAATGAAACTTTCGTAAGTATACGTTAGAGCAAATATTTGCATGACAATTAAATTCATTAGTCATGAAAATGTGTGTCAAACACGAAGATCGATAGTGATTTTCTATTACACGCGTGCTGTTATAATCAATGTTGAAGTGGAAGCGAGGGATAAAGATTCTTTTGAGAATTGATGTTTATTCTCGAAATCATATGAACTGCAGTAGGATTAAATGGAAGCCCGTTAATCGGTACGTAATCTCAGTTTTAGCTCCCGGCTGAAGCATGTGTCCGACATTTCGCGAGCGCCAATCGATCCCTTTACAAGGAACCAGCTAGCAACGCGGAAAATCTTGTTACGTGAAACATCACCTTATTGTTTCTCAAATAGTCCACGAGCGATTACACAAATTGACATTGGCATTTTCACAGAGAAATTTCGGGAGAGCGTTCACGTATTCCTAATGCAGATCTAACGATAAAGAAGACAGTAACATAAGAGAAATGTTATTTTCCAAGAGGTGTACATGATAGAAACGGCATTTTCCCTTGGAAATAATGTTCTTGGACAAATCGATTTTGAATACCGATCGAATGACTGAACGGATATAATACGAAGTGAGCGGATGGAAACATTCGGCAAACATGTGGGAATCATTTATTCAACGTAGCGACACACACGTTCGACAAATAATGAGATTACTACTTGCGTCTCTGACCGAGTCGGAGGCTCGTTATTTGATCGCAGCATCCGGTCGAAGCCGGGAGTTTGGTAACGAGCTTTACATATTGTAGAAATGTGGGCGCATACCTGGCGATCAAAGGCGGCCACCGCGCTATTCACGTTTCGCCCCCCGATACTTAAAGAATCGTCAACGAACCTTCAACCCTTACCAAGACGTGTGCCTTTCTCGATCGAACAATATTTTTCCCGTGCATTCGGAAGCAAATAGGCGTATCTATATATATAGCTATCGATGATAATCCTAGCGAGATCTCGGAAAATCTTTCGGCCTCGCCAATTAGGCGCTGTTCTCTCTCAGAAAGCGCCAGAGAAGAATCCGAAAGAAACGAAGGACGAGATCGGCGCGAAGGGGCTCGAAGGTATGTAGTACCTAAGGGAGAAAGAGCCGCGGCGCCGCTGGTGACACAGCGAGAGTCCCAGTTAACGCGACCTTTAACCAATTCATAGGCTCGGGTTAAATCCCGAGGATTTGCGGCTTACACTGATGGTGTTTACCACCACTACGGGAGATTTAGCAGTTTCTGCGGCAAACCGGCCCTCTGGACCACGCCGTACCCCTCCGGGCCAGGTAGAGGTGCGCCGCTTTGCGGAAGCACGACACAGACGTCATGCCGCTTTTCCGTCGCTTCGCCAAAATGTTGGCCGCCGCTGACTGCCGTTCTATACGTCGTCGAGTGGACTCTATGTTATCGAACGCTAGAAATACTCTTGAAAGAAAACTCAAGGCTGGAACACGAGGCGCGGATTTTTCCCAGTCAATGCCTTTGATAATATTTAGCGACTGGATTAGTTTTCGGACACACCTGACAGAACAGCTCGTGTTTAACTTTGAAGGAATCTGCATAGCTTTTTACACTTATTTGCTTACGGACATCATCAATAATCCCTCGAAATCCATCTCACGCAAAACTTACATATTGGGTTAGCAGACAAGTCCGTTTGGTTTTTGTTTTTCGGTGCAAGTTTGCTCCGGTTCGCTCTTGCGGTTCTTGGCTCTATTGTAAAACTCGAATGCGCATCTGAAAGGCTAGGTTTCACATAATTGTTCGGTGAGTGTACGTTTAGCTAACATCAGTTTTGTGTGTTCTGCGTAGCTGTGAAAATGGGAGGAAACAACGTTCCTCCAAAATTCCGTTCTAGAGATTTCTACATCAATGACTGTCGCCTGAGATTAATTAAAGTGATGTGAAAGTTATCATCGATGAAAATACACCCCAATCGGTGCGGGAGATTGCTGCGACATTTTATGTATCCCATACAAGCGTTGATAAAAATTTCTTTGGTGTATAAAAGAAATTGTATTTAATTCCACTCTAAAAAACCGAACGAACTTGTTTGCCAACCCAACACTTTTAAGAATCCATTGTAAAGAGAGCACGGAGGAATCAACTACCTAACTAAGGTTTATGGGCGTCGCATCGCCTTTAGCCTCGAGTCTTCGGAATCTTACAACTGCTGACACGGCTACAATTCTCCTATCGTTTCCCGTACAATGGAGAATCGTAAGTTTTATCAGCGAGAAATGAGAGCCGTCGAACAGGCTGCATTTTAAAGTTGGCCAGCTCGGACCGTCGAGTTACGATCGCGGGTAAATCCACGCGTACAGATGCGTCCCGTAAATAGCGAGCGATAACGGAATAGCATCAATGGACGGCCGTTTTGATGAAAGGCATCGACGAGGCTAATTGGAGGCCTGGAAGAATTATAATGGCGACGATGACGCATGGACGGACACCGATAATTCGTTATGTTACGAACATTTCGTAATGGTGCCGGGACCGTGTCTAATGGCCGCGGATCCGTGGGTTCCCGCGTGCGCGTCGTCCTTTCACTTCTTTCCGGCGAGCTTCTCTTCTCTACCGACGAGCGACGAGGGTACGTGGCCGTAAAAATATACCGCTATCCCGTGAAAGACCTACCGATTGCCCTTTATTGCCAATTGTTGGCCGCACCGTTACGCCGCGAGTCATACTTAGAATATTCACGCGCGCGGGGGGTTGGGAGATCTCGGGACTTTTTAACGGCGCGATTACAACATTTTGATTAAGCGCTCATAGACGTTTCACGCGCGAGGAAGCATGCCTCGTGCGCAATGGACATGCCGAGTAACGTTATCCGCACAGAGACGCGACGGATAATGCGCTTTAAATCTCGTAATTATTTAATTTATCGGCTCAACCCGACTGACTAATAAATCAATGTTACTTCAGAATTAAATAATTTACGGACTGTCAAATTAAAGCGCATCCCTCACAATGCTCAAACGTAATAAATCATAGGGTAAGTCGTGTGTTATTATCGACTCGGCGGTGAGATTGGATAATAATTGATAACGCTGATGCGCTCCCGTATCGTGCGGCGTGATATTTTATCGTCTTTACGGTATTTTAGCAAAGCCGCCATGTGCTTAAGCGACATTATAACAGAGCGAAATTTCCGGCGAAAATTCCTCGTGCGGATGTAGTGCCAAGGCGATGGAGATACGCACGGCGCGCAATCTTTCGCCGACATCATTACCCCAGCGTCCATTAGGGCTCTCACAAAGCAGTCTCGCTGCCGGAGCCTTTGTGCATTCTATATACACCCATCCACCCACGTGCACTAAGTTTTCTCGAAATTCACGCAACTGAAAGCTCCCTCCTCCCTCTTGGCTTTCTCCTCTTCCTCCCGCGTCTTTCCGGGGCGAAGAGGAGAAGAGCTCGACGTAACGCGGACCTCGCAACGTGCGCCGCGTTAATAACTATACCTGCATATATGTACTTTGTACATGCACGAGCATTTATTTCGCGCCCGTAACGACAGTGGCACGCAACGAAGAAAAATACGATGGGCTCGCGAGCGCGAGCGCTCGCACCCACAAAGAGGAGCTCGTTAGATATCGCAGATAAATATCGCGCGTGTAATTTACAATGAGCGTCTTAAAAGGGAGGAAAAATTGCCTCGCTCGCAATTAATGCGAGTTTCACTTCTGCCCTAATTAAATTGTTGAGTAAAGCTGCCGCTCGTAACGTTCCGTGCTCTCAAATTGAACCTGATCTTTAATGTGTAACGGCATATATGTAAATTAAAGGGGAAGAAGCGCCAGCTACACGAGCACTATTTGTAAGATGTTCTCAATATTATCTAATTTTTTATCCCTTACTAAATGACTCGAATAATTATGTAAACGTTTCGGCTTTAATAAGCCTTCCTGGGTTACAATTTCATGTAGTCATTAGCGAGACATTCACACAATAATTAAGCTGTCGTCGTAATACATAAAAGTAAAAATATATATACACAATAAGTAGGAGCTATTTGAGTCAATTGAAGAAAAAGTCAGATAAAACATTTTCGAGACACCTAAAACTAGTAAAGACACATTGAATTAATCTCAACAATAAAAAGTAATAAATTAATACAGAATATAATTCTTGACTAGACGGCGCTTATAACACTTGACGTCTTTTTTTTCCTTTTTTTAAAAAAGGAAATATTTTACGTAACATTTTTCCCTAATCTAATTGGGTCGGCAATTTTTCGTTGCCGGTAAATTTATCGAAATCTTGCTTCGTCCGCGGGTTTATCCACCGGCGGCAGCGGCGACGTAAACGCAACCGGAGAAAAATATTCCCGCGCCGTGGAAGTCTCGAGCGCAGGAGGCACACGCACGAGAGGGCCGCGCCTCTAACACGCGTGAGCTCTCCTCGCCGCATCGGCATACCTGTCGGTCGCCGTGGCCAGGTAAATATGTGGCCGGGCCCGCGGCACGGCACATATGTATCCGCACATAGCAGCCCAGTTGGGCCTCTAATGATGATCTACGGTTAGCTACCGCGCACAGCTTCTATAAACCTCCTAATTTCTCCTCTATAAATTCGTCGACGGGGGGGCAACACCCGCTTCCCTCGCACGCTCGCCCTTTCTTCCTCCGCACCTCCCCCCCCCCCTGCCGCTCTCGCGTTCCTCTTGATCTTTTTCCTCCCCATTTGGTCCGAGGGCCCGACGATCGGAGAGGACCCGCCGGCCTCTCTTTCCCACCGGGACCGTCATAAATGCGCGACTGTATTTAATATTTCGCGAGCCTGTGTGACGCGTATCGTTTATTATCGACCACCGCTCCCGTGAGCCCCGCGAAGACAGTGGGAGCGGGAGGATGAGACGAGAACGATCCTGCGAGTAAGAACGAAGGCGAGATGGAAGAGAAAAAAAAAGAGTGAAGAGGATCTTAGGATGAATCCGTGCTTCTGCGAGATACGACAAAGGCAACCGTGAGACTCGCACATTTTTTTTTATATTCGCCAGCTGAGAAAACATTGTTCGAAACGTCTATCGATGCTTTTCAGTTTTGCTCCTTCGATCCGCGCCTCTCGATCGCCGATCGAGCGGATCGCGAACGCCGTTCGGGATTCGCGACGGCGAAAAAGGTGTTGCCAGACGGTCGTAAAACGATGCGTTCGCGGGGACCCGACGGTGGCTGGGAGATTTTAGCACAAGGAATGAAGAGAGGCGTGAGGAAAACGTCGTCGCGTATATCCGCGAGCGCGCGTGTATGCGCGACGTTAGAATTTAACGAGCGCTCACGCGAATCGTGAGTTACGTCGGAATGTCTCGTGCATACGTCGGTCGGTCCCGAGCGCGATATAAAAATGCCAGCGTTATGATTCACCCCACTTGTGATTGTATTCCCGTGAGATCGTCGCCCGCCGACGGCGGTGGGCGAGCTATCGCGGGTAATTTCGATAAATGACCGCGCGCCTCTTGCATTTACGCGTTTTGCCGAAGGTACGGAGCTTTGCGACGAGAGCGATGTTCCAACGCGGATGCTGTCGAAGGGTATAACTTGGCATGCCGAGGTAACGCATTCCGCCGAGGAAAAATGAGATGCCGTTGGCTCTACATCGTGGCCGATGCAGACATCAGCGGGGAATTCCCGCAAATAGCCGAGTAGTTGGACCTGACATCACCGGAATTTCAAATCGAAGCTTGTGAGGTGGAGTGGACGAAAAAAATGTGCGCGCCCGTAAACCGGTTGGGGTGAATTGGAATTCGAGTGAAAGTAATGAAATCGATGAGATAAACGATGCGAAAATGATCATGGAACAAGTCGCGAAAGTGCTTGCCCTCCGAGAGGATACGCTGGTGAACTTTTTCAATTTCCCAGTTGGCGCATCGCAATTTATTTTACCGGTCGTTATCTCGACATCGCAGTTGTATTTCGATTCATCGAAATTTCTAAGTTTGATTGAAGTCACCAAATAATTGCCTCCGCAATTTATCTAACAAGAAGATGAAATTTTGTAAATTATAATTGCTCGTGGATATCAATATATATTGGTTTCTGTAAACGTAGATATTGAGTAAGATATTAATTTACTTATCGATTTATTATCGCGATGTTTTAGTAAATTATTAGAGACCATGAATTATTTATTGGTAGAAAAATTGTACGAAAAATTGTTTATCTTGACTGCACTGATGTAGATAACTAATTGTAAGAATCGACAACTTTTTATCGCCGTTCGAATGAAGGAAAAACGTTTGCGCCGGTTGATGTAAAGAATATTTTTCAGCCCTTGCACTAGAAGT